GCTATTCAACAGACTGCTAGATTAAAAGATCCAGGATCTGTCAAATCATCTTAGATCATTTAAATAAGGTACAAAAAACAGAACCCTGGATGCAAATTAGGGCTGCACAATATATCATTTTAGTATCGACATCGCAATGTGTGAATCTGCAAGTCACATTACAGGATCTACAATGTAGTTGACCAGGTTCAACAGATTAGAACACATGAAAATTGTGGAGTCATTTTGAGTTTCACTATAATGAATTGAAAATGTATTAGTTGCTTTTGTTTTTAAGACCAGTGACTACGCATTTTAAGCAAGTTTAAAGCAACTAGGACACAGGGAATTATTTTGTAAAACTTTTGTAGCTTTAACAAAAATTTTTGGTTTCATTATTTATATAATGAAGACTATACAACTTTATTGTGCATTTGATTATTTCATTTCTGTACCTGAATACTGTTAGACTCCTTTATTTATATAATTGCTGTACTTTATTTATCCATTCTGGTAATTAGTTTATTATATTTTCTGCAGATGCACGCCTTAACAAAATCCTTCTGATCAATATAAATGTATTAATTATTTTCAAATAGAGCTATTCTGTAGGCATGCACTGATATGGATTTTTGGGCCGATATCAATAACCGATAACTGTGAAGAGTTGGAGGCTGATAATCGATGTACTATAGCCGATAAAAATGTCAAAATGTTGTATTTTTATACAGTTAACTGATTTTTAAAAAAAACTTTATAAAGGTTTGAACTGATCTACTGAACTGAGCCGCCTACTCAAAGCAAAAAAGTAATAATTGCAATTGCAAGGTGATTATATAGATATATTCACGATTCCACATAAATCAGCATGCCAACAATAAATTGTTTCCTTTTCTTCACATAGACAAATTAACATGCATCTTGACAAAAAAAGAGAATATGTTAAAAAAACAAAATGGGATTTACTTAACAAACAAGTAAAATAACTATATTTTACTAAAATAAACATATTTTACTAAAATAAATATACTTTGGGCGAGGCAGGCAGTTCTGTACAATTACGTAATCTATCGGCTTAAAGATATCGGCCTAATTTTGACATTGGACCGATCCTTCTGTGTTTTGGTCTACCTGAACTACAGTAGCACGGGTGTTCCTACAGCTGCATTGGTGTGTGCAATTCATTATGGACGTTGATGTGTGTGCCTTAAAGTGAGTAAATAAAAAAACTATATGAAGAGTGAGTCCTTAAAAAAATTAACATGGTTTCACAACAAATAAAGTAAAAACTCACAGCAATCTGGAGGGGTGCTAATGACACTGTTTGTTTAAAACCAACTCCTCTGTAAACAAACAGCGTTAGTTGCTATGTGAACTTGTACCCATGCATACATCATCATATGTAATTACAAGAAGCTTGCATGACTGAATAAAAGGTAATTAATGATGTTGTAAATAATGTACAGTTTCTTGCATAGTTTACGTGTTACTCTCAAAGAATCACCAAGAACTCAGTTTTAGTTAAAAATCTTCTTTAATTTTCTAGCAAGTCACCAAAAATTTAAGGGGATTTTATGCATGCTTTCTCTAAAGTTGTTTAATGTCAAAACACAACACATTCTCCGATCTGATGCAGCCACCAAATAAGGATGTTCTACATAAAAGGATTAATTTAATCCATAACGAAAGACATTGCATTTCTATTTTCTGTTGTAACAATACATTTCGAGCTCATTAGCATGAAATGAAGTATCTCATTAACAACTGTAAAGCGTACGGTCCTTAAATTTGTTTTGGTAATCAAGTAAATCCAAGTTACAGCTTGTATTCCTCACCCTTGTCCTCTATGTCCACTCACTCTCAATTAAGTGTATTTAGTTGCCTCACATTTGAGAGGAAAGCCTGCCTTGTTGCCAAATGAGACTGCGCACGTGTCCCGTTCTCTCTCAGCTCTGCAGTTAGTCATGGTTTACTCTCCAGTCTAGCACTTAAGAGATCATTAGCATGTGTAACTTCCACCGATGAGGACACCGCCAAACGCGCCTGGGTACATGATGCAACCGAGCGCCTCATGAATAAAACTGAAAGAGGCAATGAGCTTCCATTCACTCTTTCAAAACCACAAGGCCCTATAAGATGTCATGGAAAGCCAACGGCTGTGTAGATTTACCTACTGATTCGCAATAAAACAGCATAAGGAATGCCTGGTAAGGGTAATATAACGGATGAATTTCAACGAGAGTGTAACCGCCGAGCCGTAAAGCACCCAACCACCCCGGATAAGCAAGGGAGATCAAAGCAAATGAAAGTCCAATAATTCGAGCCTTCCCGAATGTATGAAGACGCGAGTGAATTTGTGTCTGGGGGCCTCAATCAAAGCAAAGACACACCACTGAGCATTCACTTGCCAAGCTGAATTCAGGTTGTTTCAGTCCTACAGAGTGCTGTTTTAAGCAATAAGCTTGTTGTCATTGTCATACTGAGCTCCAACACACAAAGATCATCCGGTAGAGGGGTAAAATCAATGATTTCCCCAATCTAAGAAGTGAATGCAGGAGAGTAGAAAAGGATCGCTGGCCGTTTGACCTTCTCTGTGTATTAAACAAACACCAGATGGTAGACATTCAGCGAGTCCATTATCTGAGGGCCTGGTGTGTTGTTCCTGCTGCTAAGTCCCACAGAGTCCCACTCCATGGCTGCCATTGAACTGCATGCATGGCAGCAGCTCTGTCTTAGACCATGAATACCTGAAGATCCATTCAAACCCATCTCGAGAACTAGGTTCTAATGGTAAGCTATGAAATTTACATCTCTCTTCACTCAAACGTGGAAAAAAAATTCAGTAATAGTCACTTTAACGTGACTTATAAAACTTTAGATGTGTGCTTAATAGCAAGCAATACTTTCCAAAAAAATGATTTATGTCATTCTGCCATTTACGCAGACACATACATCTGGTGAATGGTCTAAAACATCTTGGGAAAGTAGTCCTTATGGACCTCGCTGGGTACGTGATTCCATAAAATAACTGTAAATAACTATGATATGTCATTTCAAAGAAAATATGTAAGGACAGGAATGGAAGAGTCTGAAGAGGCTAAGCTGAATTGGGAAGAAAACATGCTGGGCCACCATTGTAATGGCCCAAATGTAGATGGAATGCCCAGAGTGGAAATGAGAATACAGGCCACAATGGTACAGCAGGGTGCTGATGTGTGTGCTGAAGCAGACGCTTGACGAGGAAGTCATAGCTGGAATCAGACACAGGAGTTCATTCACAAAGCACTTGTGAAAAGGGTGCAGACGTAAAGGCAAGCTATGCAGCCATATGAATGTCTGAGGCGCAGCTTGCTTTCGGATTCAAAGCTTATGCTCACAGTTGAGAAAAATATGCCTTGATGTTTTGTCTTGTAATAATATATCTACTTTTTAAAATGTCATATTTATGTTACACAAACAATGGTTGATGCTAATTATGCGGCCATAGCCTATTTAGATATGTGGCAATACTGAAAAACAGTTGGGACTAAATTTTAAGTTGTCGGTTCAGGCCTATAGCCAGCCTATTAAAGGGAGTGGTTGTTTATCTTTTTTTTTTTTCTTTCAAAAATTTGAAAATTTTGCAGTTATTCGCCTCAATTTCTATTAAATTATGAGGTCCAAATACTGCATTTTAGTGACTTTTTAAGCACTAAAACATTTGTTTGTTGGATGTTGATCATAACCACAAAAATATTTCCTACATTTTTGTTAATGTGCTTAACATATTATTTTACCACAAAGTGTTTATTTAGAAATGTGCGATTATATTGTAAGTTATTACAATTTTATAAAAAAAATGTAAAATATATAGAACATATATTTAGAAGATATTAAATAAAATAATAAAATAAATAAAATAAAAGAATAAAAAAAAGATTGCGAAAGTTTTTTATTTAATTAAATAAAAAAAATATAAACAACATCATTAAAAATATTGGGACTCTATTAAAAATATTGGGACTCTAATAAAAACTATATTAAAAACATAGCCAGTAGGTAAATAACACTTTGGCCAGCTCATTTCCCCAGTAAGAATTTGTAAATTTGAACAATTATTATTTATATTTGTCTTAAAGCCATCTTCTATCAGTTATTTTCACAATGTATAATGGCATACTGTACAAAATAGGACAAATGAGCTTATTTGGGGGCAAATTCAGAACTTTGTTAGTGGGGGGTGGGTCTGTCAAACCACCCAAACCACCCAAACCCCCCTGGCTACAGGCCTATGGTTGTATTACATGGCATTTTTTAGACAAACGACACAGTAAAAACTTTTTAAAAAATAACAATAATAACAACAAAAATAATTCCCCATCATTTATAACCTTTATGTAAATGAGCAATTCCAGCGTTATGAATATGACATTTGCAGAAAAAACTCAAGACATAATTTCACATGGAAAGTACGCATTAACATTACATTGAAACATCTGTTTATATTTTCCAGAACAACTGACCACAGAGTTAAGGGATCAGAAAAATATCAATCTGTAAACATGTTTAGTACTTCAAAGGAGGAAAATAAATATGCGTTATGGATGTGACCAAAAAAGTCTGCGAGTTTACAGTTTACAACATATTTTGTAGAAATTCTGTAAATTAAACTGCACAGCCCCCAAAAAAAAAAAAAAAACAATGCTAAATAAAAGGATAAAATATGTCTCTCTATAGAAAAAAAAATGACTGACTTTATTTTATTTGAGATTTTAGCATTTATGAGGGAAAAAGTGTCGTTATTGATGTGACATTTCTGCGTTATGGATGTGACTGATGTGAAATTGCCACTTGCGTGACTTTGGTAAAACAAATACAATAGCTTGAAAACATTGACAGAGACATTTTTGAGTATTTCTAAAGTACTGTAAAATACAAGCCTACATAAAAAAGGTAGAAACGGTTTCCATATTTTGGTGAAAATTTAATGTTTCTCATGGCAAGGTTGACATTTGCAAGGAATTGCTCGAATCTAATGAGGAAGCGCTTTCTCCTACCTTTCACAGCCATGGAAGCTTCCTGAAAGTCGCAGTTGATTTTGTTGTTGACACTGGACTCCATATTCCCCTAAAAAGAAGCTGAGTCGAATGTAATAGTCTCGGGGGTCCACATTTCAACAAGTTGAGCTAAGTTGACGCCATTTCAGGACGACGATTAATCTGACTGAATGACAAACGACCAACAGGTAAGCTTCAAAAATAGCGCGGACTAGAGTGTGTTGATATCCTCAGTTTTCTCATCGTCATCCTTAAAAAACACGTGCGGTTAATTAATCCGTATACCTATATTATTTTAAGTATTTTAGACATGGTAGAGACCGGGTCCAGATTTAAACTGTAGAGTTATGAAGAGCTTTTACCTCGAGTTGATCATGTAGGCCTAAACAGGAAGTAAAAACGCTGCACGAGACGAAACTTAACAGCTTTTGCTTCAGTCATTGTTGACAAGCCATTTCATAAAGTGGCGCTAATGTTAAGAAAGTATAAACCGCAATAATGACGAGACAAACGTTCGCTATAAACTTAAACAATACAGATAGAAAGATTAATTCCTCAATCATATTTTTGTCAATTGAGTAATTTGGTTCCCCTGGAAGAAATAATTTTTGATTGTGATTATTAATTAGTTGTAAAAATCATTATAGTCTAATAACGGTAACTTAGTTATTATTGATTCAGTGACGACTTGTGACATGCTCCCTATATGGTACTTTTTTAATATTTGCTCTGAAATTACATGTAGCTAAATATGACTTCAAAACAGCACTATTTATTTGACTGAACAATGTTGAACTGTGATAGTCATTAGCTTCTAATATGATTTCTGATATTAATTTATATTATTAAGAAGAAAGTACAAATGTGTGAATATAAACTTTTCCTCACTTTAGTCATAGGCTGCTAAACCAATTCAATTACGAATAAAATAATAATTTAAAAATAATAATGCAATAATAATAATATTACTTTATCAAAATCTCAGTAATAAGTGTCAATATAGGTTCATGGGATATTAAACAGTTTTTGTCATGCTAGAGATCAATTGCTGTAGATTGACTTTACTCACCCTCACCTTTTTTTTCTTTTTTTTTCTTTTCTAAAGGATTTTTAGCTGAAACCAAGATTATATACTGCATGATGGACAAACAGGAAGGTAAGTTAAAATTAAAAAGCAGAAAAGTATGCTTTCTGTTGCAAAACCTTACAATTACAAAGTCACATTTAACATTAAATAATATATAGAAATCATTAACTAATGTGCTCACGTTCGACTCAGAGTACTGTGCCAACTATCTATTGCAGTTCAAAAGATATATGAACAAAACTCCTGAGCCCAATCAGAATTTCTTCAACTAACTTTCTACATAGAACCAACATTATGCTTTTAACCAGATAACTTGGGGTATATTTTAAGAAGCCTACCTCATTTCCACATTGAATCAGTGCTTTATTTTTAATGTAAATTTGTTCTGATGCACTGAATGCATAGTGATTATTGATTCAGTGTTGAAATTTGATTGACCTACAACCAAAAATAGACACTGAATCGACATCTGTTTGTTATCTGGGTTACAACAGATATCAGATTTAAAAAAATGCAAGTCAATAGCTACTGGCACTTTGATAGTAAAAAAACAAAACAAAGACAAAATAAAAAGAATATTTGTACAGTGATGATTAGGCATGGTATAAGATTCTGGCTGTATGATAACCTTGGATAAAAAAAAATCACGGTTTGACGGTATTGTGAATACAGCTCTAAAATATGCTCTTTTTAAATGTCTGAGTAAAAAAACTAAAACCTTTTCTCCCTATTGAACACAATATATTTAATTTTGAGAAACAATCATAATATTTTGGAACAGTAAACTGTCAGGCTGAATAATTCAAATGAATCATTGACTTTTGCAGTCTTCATTAGTTTCAAAAACATTGATTTCATTACAATTTAATACGATATCTTTGGATATCTTTACTACTGGAGACACTGTTTTCCTAAAAAACGAAACAAAAAGTAAATAAAAAAACGTACATATACCTTAGGAAGGGTAACGCAGAAAATCTTCGCCGTTTTAAAACCTTGACTTTTCCAAACCGCAGTATACCTTGCAAACGGTTATCATCCCGTGCCTGCTGATGATCAGTTTGTGCATAGGAAACGACTTTATCTACAACATTATCCACTTATCCGTTAAGTCGTGACATATGGAATACTGTTTTTGGGTTCAAGCCGCTACTCGGTTGAATTGAGAAAATATTTGTTTATGAGCCCTTTTTAGTAATTCATTCTTTCATTCATTTTCTTTTTGGCTTAGTCCCTTTATTAATCAAGGGACGCCACAGCAGAATGAACTGCCAACTTATCATCACATGTTTTACGCAGCGGATGCCCTTCCAGCTGCTACCCGTCTCCGGGAAACATCCATACACTTTCATTCACACTCAAACACTACGGACAATTTAGCCTACCCAATTCACCTGTGCTGCATATCTTTGGCCTGTGAGGGAAACCGGAGCACCCGGAGGAAACCCATGGGAACTTTTCCTGGATAATATATTTTTATTTTTAAAATATTATGTGAGGTTTATATTGAGACCAATCATTTTAATTTATAAAACATTAATGAGTCATCAGGTGCCATGGGTGTTCATTTGTTTTGTTTTGTTTCTCTTAAACATATCAGTTAACTTTAAATTTGTGAATCACCACAGACACAGTTTCAAAAACTTCTTAAATGTTTTACTGACATCTAATAAGATACATCTAGAAGGATAAGCATATTAACAGCAGATTTTAATTTTGGGTGAACTATCCTTTTACATTTGGTGTAAATTGTCACAGTAGATTTGCTAAACTCTCGCTGGCATTAAACCAAAAAAAATTGTTCCTATGCCATCATGCTGGGGAGTAACAAGAATAACTAGTCAAAGTCTAGAAAACATTTCATTTGTCATTTGAAGAAGTTCTTCCCTTTTTAGTAAATGTGCACTGACCTCTCCAGGTGGCTTCGGGTGTTTGTTGCTTTTTGATTATAATGCAGGAATGCTGGACATTTGAAATGACATAGTGGTAATTACAGCCATCTAATTACACAGTGGCTGATGCCTGCCTTCAAGAGGTTAGTGCAGAGAGTCCACTGACCCGTCAACTGTTTGCAATTGCAGCCCGAACCAAAACTGCCTTCGGGAATCTGTTCAACTCAAGCACCTAAAAGAATGATATAATATTATATACAGTAGCTATATGTCGCTGACAGCTGAGACAACTCTATAGACCACATTTATTCCAAACATAAAGTGTAATGCAGCTGGCTTCAGCAGAAAACTATGTGTTGTCTAAATGACGCACATCTGAGAATTTGTTTAACCAAAAATACTGAGGTTCCATTTGACAGGTTTTAACTGTGAAATTTCAATGCATGGAGAAAACAAGCCTTGACGTGTCTACACAAGTGTAACAATAAGTAGCAATGCTAACACTTATTTGGATTGGCTGGCGGTGCTGGATAATTCTGCCTGTGGTTTTTAACATGACATGGTTTCATTACTAAGCTTATTTAGACATTTCAACTGCTCAGTTAATGGATGCACATACTTTATAATACAATTTCACATCAGAAAAAAATATAAATATATGTTTGATCTTATGATGTTCTAATCTAAATATGACTTCAGTGTAATTGACAAATTATATAATGTAAAATATCTTTTATAAAATCTGTTTAATCTATTTCATTCATTCTAGAGGAGAGATTTGCCTCAACAATTAGGCAGACATTCACACTGTCTGACTATGAGAGGGAAAAAAATCCTCTCCATGTCTCTCAGGTTTCTCCGTTTGGGGTTTGTCCATCAACAGTGGCCAATTAAACTGTGCCTGACCAGTCTCTATTAAAACAGAAAGTGTTTACATCAGTTTGGCCAGTGTTTGCACTTGAAGATACTGAGAACCAAACATAACAGCAACATAGATAGCCTCTATTATGTCCACAAGGCCAGATCGAGTCCAAAATGTGGAACATTCTGCAATGTAACGGCTGTGAATACCACAGCAAGCATTTTTGTGTTGATGAGTTAACAGCATTTCAGCTTTATTAGGTTGGAGATTTCACTTTTTTTTCCTCAGTAACACTCAGATGGATTTTTTTGTGGTCGTATTAGTACTATCCTATTTATCATTCTTGAAATAAAAAAATGAATCTGTTGGCAACTACCACAGCAAATGTTTTTTTGTGTCGTTTCAATGAAGAAAAGCAGCACCTGTGGGATGTACATTTTTCTATTAATTACACATAACATTCGAACACATTGACATCACTGAGGTCTACAAGCTTGGTGGGTGGCCAATATGAGAAATCATGGTCCTAAACTTCTCTGGTTCTGGTTTCCTCCTCGGTAGTTGTGTGCATATATAATTGAGACCATTGAAGTACATTGCAGGTCCATCTGCTTGGCAGAGAAGTGAATACTAAACCATCTGGGCCTCTACATGCGCCAGAAAAGGGATATGGATAGGTATTGTCTGAGATGGAGCACCTCAGGGGGTGCGTTATTCCACGAGGAACACACACACACATTCACAAAGATCCATACTGTTCCTTAAAGATAGTAATACTAGCATGCGAAATCTGCTGTTACTGAACTCCAGATGGAGTGAAATAATTCCGAGTCCCATCACCTCGAGTGATTAGTAAACTCTGATATCAAAGCAAATGATCATCAGTATCCCACTCGGTTAGTACACACAGCCACTGCACAGTGCATCGTTTGCTCTCAGCCCTAACGTTCACAGAATCAACCGTGAATACATAAATGATAACAGACATTCTGTTCCTGCCATCAGTTGGTAAAACGGAGTGCCATGTTGAAATGTTTTCTGCTTGTAATTCGCCCACCAGCTCTGTGGAGACACACATGCTCGCATTAAGGGCTTCGCTTGTGGTCAACACAGCGACTAATTGAACAAATTCTTTCCTTTCTTAGGGATACGTGAGACGACGTTTCTGTGCAGAAGGGGACGCTTGGTGAGGTTTGTTTATTCGCAGGATTACAGACATTAAGCATCAGTCTTTTAGGTTAGCCTTCATCCGTTTGGAAACGGATCGTTTTCTTAACCTCCAAGCGACTCTCTGTTCCTCTGTCGCAGCGGTGCCAATTCTGAAAACCGATCGTAGTTTTGACATGATGCTGAACTGCTCTCCTGCGGCCCGAGATACATCTGTAAACATTGGCTAAATGAAGCCGGTGGGGTTCTCACAATGAAACACCCCCCGCTCCCACCCCCCGATGGCCCTTCCATCCATTTCTGAGGGACTTCAGATATCCAATGGATGTGCTAAAAACCCCGCTGTGTCTGGTCCTTTAGCAGCGGACCTGTCACAAAGCCTCACACCTCGTGGCCGGCTCAGCGGCCCGTCTCTGGCTCCCATCTCTGACATCTGCTCAGGGTTGGGGTTTCATTCAAGAGGGGGGCAGAGGGAGTCAATCTGCTCTTTTAAAAAGAGCCTCACAGTGCCCTGGGTGCTGATGGGGAGGAATGAGGAATCCGCACCATTTCTCTTGCTGGCACCACTGGTGTGCTATTCTCCATCCCTTCCCCATCAACGCCACCACAACTCAAAGCCGTCTTTCATATCCTCCCACGGCTCCAGATTGACAGGCATCAGACAGTTCAGGTGATGAGGAGGAGAGGGTGTGAATGGAGATAGAGAGGTGCCATGTTTGAACACTTCCTAAAGAAGCACGCCCGATACTCGGCAAAAAAAAGGCCCCGCGCTTCCAGCCCTTTTTGGCAAGTCGACCATGATGACTATTTGAAGACTTGACAGATTGTGCTGATGTGTTTATTTAGTTGAGCAAATGTGGACTGGAGCTGTTTTCAAGCTTTATTTATGTTGCGTATTAACTCGGTCACCAACAGAAATGAGGCAACATCAATCATCCACTTGATAGGAAGAACGGTGAAACATTTATTTTAGCATCCGCACTTTTTTGCTAGGTGGATGGAAAAGAAATTATCAGCTCCTTTGTGCATTGCATTATAGAGGCTCTCATTTGCAAAATGTCACTTGTTTTGTAAAAATAACATGTATCTTTTGAATCGTTTAACTGTTAGTTAATCAGAAAACGAAATATTCTGTCGTTATTTACTCA